AATTCACGAGATTATAAAAAAAATCCTTTGTTTTATGGGAAGACCCTCTTGATTCAAGAGAAAACTCCAGTTTTTTTAAAAAATAGCTGCTTATTAATTAATTGTTAATCAATAAGATAAATCAACCTCAGATTGATTCATTATCAATAACTTGCATCCTTAAGGAGTTAACTTAATTTATATCTACTTATATTCATGTAATTAAGCATTTTAATGATTTGGCCGATTAATCAATTATTAAAATAATCGTAAGTTGCAGCCCTAATAATTTTCAACAAAATAACATGCAGAAGGAAGAGCTGCTTTGGGTCCTGTTCTGGTCCAGCTCGGTCCAACTCTCGGTGCCGCCACAGCTGAGGCCCACTGGCCTGGTGCTCCATGAATAAACACACCCACGAAGTTCAGACCAATCACACGCACCGAGCCGCAACATCCGCGTCTCGGAGTTCTGACTGGGTACAATGGACAGCTGTCACCTGGGATCGCAGCGGGAGAGTGGACGGAGGTCACTCAGCGGGGGGAAAAGACGTGCGACTCGAAGTATAAACCAGCCTTGAGTATCTGATCGGGACAGCCCGACACAAGAGTGCCAGCTTTTCAGGACAAGACTCAGCTGCATGCCTACATCTCAAGGACGAGAGACACTTTCAACCAAAATGATCATATTTTGGACAAAGAAGACAAAATGTTTATAAGAGGGATGAACATATGTATGTCAAACAAAAAGAAAATTAAAAAATTAAAGGATATCTCATATTTCAGCTTTCTAAAATGTACAACGGAGCATTAAGCTCGACTCCCAGTAATTTTCCTTTTAATGCACCCATCCCAAAACATGTTTTTGTGACAAAATCATCTACTGTGAGCCAGGCAAACAAAGAGGAACATCTCATGAAGTTTAAAGCTTGGAATGCCATACTATGGCTCTGAATGGAGAAAGGTACCTGGATGAGAAGCAAAATGTCTTCAATTAATAGAAGTAATAAACAGAACTAACTAATATAAGTCTTGTTGTGTTTTTGATGACAGAGGATCATCACCTGTTATAAATCAAATGGTATCACTATCAAGTCAGAGTGGGAACAGATCATGTCATCAACTCAATAAGCACTGAATACAGATGTTTGCTATAGAATATATAATAATAACATAAAAWTGTACTAGGAGGATTTTTTAATATTGTAATCTCTACTGTTTAGACTGTTAGAGACAAAACTTTCATCTAAAATAAATGCTATTTTATGCTTATTCCTTATTAATTTTTTTTTAAATCGTAATTCCTGTAGCCTAAATGATGAGAAACTATCGCGGCTGCTTTCTTCCTGTAAATGAGTTGCAATGTGCATAGCAACAAACAAGGGCCCATCTAAACAACTACAGAAGGCTAACACTGAAAACAACCGGCCTTCACTGTCTGAATGTAGCAGCATGTTTGACACAGCATTTTCATACACTAAATGACTCCACTTAATGCCACACTTTACTTCTCACAAAATCATTTGCTTTTTTAAACATCGGCTGCTTTTTACATGACTTCAATTTTAATGGTAAATCTTACGACTGAAATAGAGGTTAGCCGAGCTAGCTGTTAGCTTAGCTAGCGTGCTCCACAATTCAACGATATTTGCCGTGGTAACAATAGCCAAGTCCAGCGTTAGATTTAAGGTCAAAATCTACCAGGGTAACGCTTCATACATAGATGGGAAGTTATATAAGTAAAACTGTTGTAAGTTTTGAGTTTTGGTGAGGTTTATCAGATAGTAAACGCAGAGCTAAGCTAACAGCCTAGCGAACAAAGAACTCAAATCAGGATGATAGCTAAATATGCTAGCAGGCGTTGTCGCGTTGCATCTCGTCGTTTTATTGTCGCCACGAGGGATACGTTCGTGTGTCAAGATAAAACGTATTCCCTCGGTTGTTTTGTGTTTTAATAAAACGTCAGGCTCGGTTCACACTGAAAATAACACCGCTGATGCTAGCTAGTAAACAAAACCAGCGGAGACTGGAGGCTGTGCTCATGGAGGATGTTTTCAGACACAAACACGTTTCACGCACACATTAAAACGCAAAGATTTACAAGGTGCTTGTTGGTGCACTAAAAAAAAAGACTCACCATTCGAGCTGCCTCAGCCCAGGTCCGCTCCTTCTTTCTCTTCTGTTTGTCCTTCATTTCTTCTGCGCTGCAGTCTGCGGACAGTCTGCAAAGAAACCTAGTAATGATGGCGCTTTAGCTGTAAAGATGACTAACTGCGTTTTAARTTGCCTGCGTGTAAGAAGACGCTGCCGTGCTCTTTTTGGTTGTCGAGACTGCTGCTAGGTTTAAATCAGCTCCACACGCATTCAGTCTGTGCTGAGGCAGAGTGAAGCTGCTGCAGGAACCACTCACTCTGGAATGCAACGGGCAGGTCAAAGGTCAAATTCTCCGCAGGAATGCAAAACTACAAGTCCACCACCACCCTTCCGCAAGTAACTGGGCCAATTGGTGCAGACCTGATAGTACCGAAAGCTGCGACCACCAACGTGGATCATTTTCACTTTAATCACTACACAGACTAAAAAAACAACAACAACACTTCTTTCAAACAGATAAGAATACAGACACATAAACACCAATATATAAAACAATAAGAAAAAATGTATAGGTCTTCTGGACGGGTTCTTCTCTAATGAAATGTTTCATCTCTTCTCCAAGAGACTTTTCAGGGGTGCCACCGAGCCATTGGTTCAGATATGTTGACGACACCTGGGTCAAAAATAAAGCCCAGGAAGTCCAACATTTCACTGATCACATCAACTCTGTGGATGAATATATTAAGTTCACACGAGAGGATGTAAAAAATGGTAGGTTGGCGTTCCTGGATTGCGATGTCTCGGTTTCGGATGGAGGACGGTTGGAAACTGGCGTGTATTGTAAGCCCACCCACAC